TCACTTGGCAGCTAGAGGGCAGGGCGGCCTCAGGCACCCAGGTGTCCACGGGAAATTAAACGCCATTCCCCCAGGGACCATGGGGCAGGGTCATGGCTGGGGTGGCTTCACAGCTGCAACATCGCAAGCAGCGTTTACTAATCATGACCGGTTACAGCCGGCGGCACCCTCCCGGAGCACGAGCAGATGCTGATTAAGTAGCCGCTCCTGCACTGAGCCCGAGAGCTTTCCCTCCTCCCGCCCCAGCTTCCCGGGGGAGACAGTGTCTCCCACTGGAGGAAACCCGGACATGTGGCCCCACCCCTTGGGGGCAGGACCGGGCTCTGACTCTCCCCGAGGACCCTCTGGGCAGATCACGAGCGTAGACCCCCCAGCTTCTTCGCAGCTAGCTTACAGCCGCCAGGTTGGCATGCTGCAGTGATGCCTTCTTTTCTTCTGTAATTAAAGGTCTTGGAGATCTCAACTCTGGCCGTGTACCGATTCCCACACCCAGGCTGGTATGTGACCTGAGGAGGCCACGGGCGGCGACAGCCACCAGCACCCCGCTAGCGCCCCGGGAAGGGTCTCCAGGTGGTCCCCTGGTGCCCCCGGGTCTGTGGCTGCATCATCCCGATCCTTGGCAGCACGCTCGAGCCATGTAAAACGGGGCTGACCTGGGAGCGCCTGCCTGCCTGCCCGGGCTCAGGCCGGGGCACACCCTTCCCAGGCCCCCCGGGCTTCTTTCACATGCCCTCACTTGTCCCCTGGGGCTGGTCCGGGATGCCAGGTACTGTCCTGCCTGAGGGGCCACAGAGGGTGGCTGTGCACCGCCCCCCCAAGCTCCTGCAGTGTCCTTGGGCCAGACGCTGAGCCTGAAATCACTGGGCATCTCCTCTGGCTGGAAAGCCTGGGTTGTGTGTACACCAGCCGTGTGACCTGGGGTTGCCCCCTCCCTCTGTGAGCATGTTTACCTACCTGTGAAATGGCAGGAGTGGGGCCAGGACTCACTGACCCCTTAGATTCTGCTGGAACCCCAGTACCCGGCCTGGCGCTGCAGGAGGGTGCCTGGGCAGGGACCCTGTGTGCTTCATGGTCGGGAGGTGCCGCAGCACTCTGTCAAGGGGGCTCATCCCTACAGGGGCCGCTCTGTCTGGGCAGGCGGGTTTGTACCCTGGAGCCCGGCTGCAGGCACAGGGAGGGCCGGGACGCTATGGTGACGTAGCTGGGAGCTGCTGGAGGGGAGACGTGGGGCAGGCTCCTGTGTGTCACCGCCCGTGAAGCCGGGCAGCTGTGTCGTGGGAATCAGTGCTGTAGCGACAGCCAGGCTGTGCTGCCGTGCCCTGCCGGCAGGCGTGGCCCTTCTTTTAAAAGGCGTTTGAAGGCCAGGCATGTGGCACTTTCGCCCCAGTCGTTGCTTTGGGAATTGGGTGATAACTCTGAATGAGAATGGGTTTAAGCTTCAGTGATTTCAACATGGAAAGCAGAGCACAGGTGTCTCCTGCCCCAGATCCTCTGGTTAGCGGAGGCTCACGCAGTGGGTGTCGAGGCTCCGCCGTACGGGGCTGTGTGGACCGACGTTGTCCCAAAGGCCACTGCTTGCAGGGGCCGTGGGGTGAGCAGGCTCGG